TGAGAAAGTGCAGAGTAGTATTGGAAATCATTTTCACTGCTCAATACGTGATAATCTGCTCCACTATCTAATTGATAAGATACATTTTCTGAAGACTCCATGACTGAGACAACTTGTTTCTGATCGCCTGGGCGCCCCACACTTTGTTTCACGTCTTTAGTTTGCTTCCTTGAACTTTCTTTTTTCCTACAATCATTTTCGACATGACCCAAATTATAACATAGGTTGCACTTTATTTGATTATCTTGTCTTGAAGTACCTTTTATTCTGACATTTGATGTCCACTTGAGGCATTCAGATATGGTCTCATCGTAGGACATATCGCGACACCGGTTTGCCAGCTCAGGCTGCATATTTCGGACATTAAATAGGAATAGATGTTTCATGTGATACTTAATATCAGGCTTAACTAGGCAGTGTTCTTTGAAATTCTGAAACCGTTTTTAGTACTCCTTAACATAAGAAGACAGCGACAAATTCTGAGGTTGGAAATTCCAGAATTTGGCGGTACTTGATAAGGCTGTCAAGAAGATGTTAGATTGAGATACTGTCGGTTCATGGGTGAAGGGCGTTCGGATAAATGGCTTGACTTAGATATGTACCTCTGTAAGGATTAATCAATGTATCACGTGACTTGGCTCGGGCGCCAAGCTCCAATTTGTAATTTAGATATTAGTGCTTGAGGAAAGAGAAGGGGGAAGAATAGATAGAATGATACCACTTGTTTATAGCACTATTGAGGCATTGAACCAAGTGAGCCCCGTTGTACTAACAGATACTGAGACAATTTCATGAAGTATTGATTGGGGGCTGTCACTTGGTGCTGTTCTGATATCAGTTGCGGTTTCCTTTAGCTTTGCAGCCCACCATCCAGACCACATTAATATAGTCCTGACGTGAGGAGGTTGTTCTAGGAAAGCTGCTGATGATCGAGTCAGGAAGATGAGTCTTTTGATGGCGTTTTGCCATTGGAACCAGTTTGAATGAGTAAGTTTAGGTACTCGAGTTACCCTCTCGATACTGTCCAGGCGAGTTGAAAGGGTCCAGATCTCGATTTTCTTGTTTGACTCTTTTAACGAGTCTTCGAGTTCTTCGGTTGAGGCAAATTCAATGCCAGATATCAAAATTCGAGTGTCTTCATTTGTTTCGTCAAACTCCATTTTGGCCTCTTGGGAGGGCTTACTGGAAGTTAGTGATGACATGGTGGCTTTGTGCGAGAGTTGCTGCGTAAGTTTGCTTAGACAAGTAGACGAACGCGAAGACAAGATGCACAGAGGAACATATGTCGCTGTGATTCAATGCGGAAGCTTATTAGCGGCGGAAGACGCGACAGGCCAAAACCTGTTATAGCATTAAAAGCATGAAGATTGTATTAAGGTTACTAATTAGGAATATGTACAAGTTATCATGCGATTATTAGCAATCCTCAACTACAATTACGGTTTGTCCGTTGTTTAAGCTTGGGAGTAAAACTAAGTGTTTCGTTGGGAATAATTATGATAAGACTAAAAGGGGAGGGATAGACAAAGATAGATGAAATGGCACTACTAGCTAGGAGGTCGAAGCAACATCATAGCGTAATGGCTGCTGATAATACTTGGCTCGGTAGCAAGTATTAGGCCTAGGGAATAGTTATCAGTCAGAAGATTCACGAAGTAGATCACACATTATAAGTACTTCTTAGTAGTAATTAGAGACGCCTTTTCTCTTCATATGGTCTAATAAAACGACCTATTCAAAACTAACTAGCTTTCCGTCACATCATCCAATTGTCAGCTGAGGCCTTCTACGTTTTTCTTTCCATTTGTTCCTTTCAAGTGGCTTCTTTATTTTACGATCTATCTCTTCATCTCCAAAACTTTGAAAGCTATTCATTACTCTAGCTTTGACCGTCAATGCCGCACCCCGAGTCGTAAAAACTGAATATTTATCAAATAACCCTGCACCGAAGTACCGATACCTCAGCCTTTTCTAAAAGCGCTACTTTATGTGCCGTCAAGGCCTCGTGCGTATTTATCTTCGGCAATTGGTTTCAGATCGAGTTTCCGGCATCCTTGGCCGAGGTATAGACGGAATGCAAGGCCGGTACTTCGACCGTGTCTTTATAAAACGCTATGGTTGCGAATAGACGGATATATTTTTATATCTTTGACTTTTATTCTATCTTCTAGATCTTGAGATGCATCTGTTACAGGATCTAGTGCACAAACTCCTGTCGTTCACCGTGTGCGGCCCATGTATAATGCTGGCCTCAGAGTCCGCTTAGTCATACCCCCTGTAAAAATATATTTCCTTTCCATATGCTCTTATTCCGCATTGTAGTTATTCATGCGTTATCATTACTTCAGGAAATCAGAATAAACTTCGTATATTTCGTTCGATCGATTAGGTCACGACCACATTCCGTGACAGCATCGGCAAGTGGTAAGATAACCTTGAAGATAGCAGTAAGATGAGTTTTTCTAGATAAAATCTTCCAGGGCAAGTCGAAATATTGAAGAATGTCAGTGTGACATGAAGCGAGTATCAGATAGGATTGAGCAAGTCTGCGACTCGAATGAAGGATGTAGATGTTTGATTTCTGGAGTTTTTGCAGTCGTGAAACTTCTACGTGCTAATTTTCAAGAAAATCTTGTTAATACCACTCTTCTCTACCATCATATAAACGTAATCATCAATATACACGCCTTGTAGTGACTAAATCTCGGCTCAAAGGGAATATTTGACACCCAGGTATACCGAGGACACCAGCGATAGATGCTCAGTCTCTATCCTCTGTAGTAGACAGCTCGTCGGATTTCTTATATTTCATGGATGCTGCAAGATGCATCAGAACTTATAGGGGTACTTCGTAGACTAAGCCGATATTTGGGTTCTAATTATGCTACCTGAGTCATAAGTATTTAGCGTATTAAGCTACTCTCTCACTCAGACCACAGCTTTTACAGCGCTACTATTCTCTTTTAATACAAAAAAATCCAGGATATTACACCCTTAACCGGTACTCATTCGGCACAGTGATTATCCATGGGGTTTATTCTCCTTTTCTAAATAACTTTCTAACCAAAAAAGGTAGCTATGAGACTGTGTACCCGGGAAACATTGTTTGAAAAACTGCAGCCTTAGCCAGCCAAATACTGGTACTAAGTTGAATTCAACCAAACTTAGGCCGGCAAGTACGAATTATTCAACTTCCGGTGGTGTAGGTGTAATCGCAGTCTTCTTTTTATATCTGAAACAGCCAAGAAATATTGCATCTTAATCTAAGTCAAAAATAGAGACGAGCATATGTATTATCGAAGACTTCTCATCATTGTCGGTCTTATCATTATCGTGCGAGTTTTGCAACTAAGTCTTACTACACACAGTCTTGTCTCAACGATCAGTTATGAAGCAGCTCCAATTGTAAGCAGGAGTTTGCCTCATCATTCACCAGCCATGTCCCGCCTTCAAATTAAGATGCTCAGTGTACTGGCAAGTAGGAAAATAAATTGTGATTTATAAAGCTTGGGTCTTGACTTATGGAGGACCGTTACTCAGATAGGACTTTACAACTCAAGTAAGGACTGACAGCTAAGAAATAGAAAGAGAGAAGAAAGAGGTTATCGATGGGAAGAATAGATCTAACTTTTTTCGGGGGATATCTGGGTTTGGCAGTTTGTGGGCGCCAACACTTAGATTCCGGATTGCGCTACCAACACTTCAAAAAAAGGCGCGCTATAATTGCTTCAGTAGTCGAAGTCGAATGGAATTGACTTCAGTCAGCACGAAAAAATTTGGCGGAAGTCATGGTTGAATTGTACAAATTTATTTTGATGAGTAACGTCGGGGGATATAGGAGAGGCACATTAGAGCAAGCCTAGAACATTTGCTTTTACTCTTATTTTTGTCCTGGTTCGTAGTGATTGGTCTATATCGTTGACATTGAGCATTTCGGTATAGTTTACTTTAAGTAAATATTTTGTCTGATGCATTAAAAATCCAAATCGCCCTGGCGCAGCTTTTATAACTACCAGTTAGGAGGTATCTGAATAAGTAAAACACTACGATAGCATTAATGTGAGCAATATTCTACTACAAATCCGTTACTAACTTGAAATCCCTTGTGTTAACGGATTATTTTCTACTTGCAATCCATGATTTTTCAGAGTTTTGTCTCCTATGATGTCTTGGGCATCTGCAACTGCTTCTATTTTAAGCCAAAATTGGTGTCGAGCCACCCTATATTTGTGGTCCTCTTTAATCTGAGGTCCCATAGAGACCGACTACTTTCCTGCATTGATATTTTCAAATATAACTTCCTATACATCGCCCAAATGCGAGTTTCGATCAACGCAGTCATCAAATCATAATTTCATCATAATTTATCTTACAAGAAAGCCCATCGATTTTACTTACAAATTTCATATTTGTGCTTTATGTGACCTTTTTGGTATCAATTTCATAGTAGAATTGTATGTTAATCAAGAGGTCTTGAATGGAAGAGTTTGACTGCTCCCACAAATTGCACCATAATTAATCGGTATTCGAAAAAATGACCATGTTCGCTTAAAGTAAACTTGTTTTGAGCCGCGAATTTCACATTGATTTTGTCTGAACAGTATAAATGGCTACTATATTTGATAGCGCCTGGAAACTCTGTAGTGATGGAGTAGGAGATCCCGGAATCAGATAGACATTTGTAAATTAGAATTATTTTTAACGAGCAGTTTGGTGAGAATCCATATCTTGATACAATAGTCGGCTCAGGGTTGACCGTAGAAAACTAGCAAAGTAAAATTAAGAAGCTCGGCTCCACGTTACGAATTAAATAACTTTCCGGCAGTATATTTCTATTGGGCGCATTGTTTTCGGAGTTAAGTGGCAACCAAAATATTCAGCGATGCTAACTAGAGGTATCCCCGTTTCAAATTGATATCTGTTCTTTCGGTAGGAATTTTGGTTCTCTAAGTGACAGCGGACCGTTCATAAATTTTTTGAGGTCTGTGACATGTGACTTATCACCGTCTTTCTTTCAAATACTTATTAGCTCGATCCCATGCTTCTTTATCAGCCACCGGTATTTCATCAGCTAAAGTGATCACCCCAGCATAAACAGCATCAAAGAATTCGAAGGATGCCGCTAAATCTTCAGAAAACATTATCGAGTTTGGGATGAATTTTTCTGCGAAGCTTTGCTTATTATGTTCACGTTGATCCGGGGTCCATTCGGATTTAAAGTAGTCATCAAGGTACGTGGTGACAGCTATACCAAAAATAGTGTTAATCGATTCAGTAAATGGAAGACTATTACTAGCTTGTCAGGGATCACAGTCATGTATTTCGTGCTGGAATTGAACTGCTTACCTTCTCCCGAGATCACCGTAATTATGGTTTTCGAAGCGAGAAACTTGGTTACTCAAGAACATAGAAACAATAACAGATTCTAAGATATCTCTATCTGTTTCTTGAACAGATTTGACAAGAGAATTAAATGCAAGGAAATTCTTGCTTAGAGGTCCCGTGTATCCAAGGTTCTTATGACGGAATTTTAGCAAGCATATTGTGCGACCAACCAGCATGCAGTTGGCTTTGTCCTCTTCAGAGCCCCTTAGAGCCCCTCCTATGAGTTCTGGATGTCGATTCTGAGAATTTAGTACATTGAAGCGAATCATCTCAAATGCCAAGAGCGCTGCTTCCTCAGCATGATAGATATCGTTCTGTCTTTTAATGATTGGTTGTATATTTTTGATGGTGGTTGCTAGAGCTTTTCCCCAAGATGTTAGCTCGTGTTGATCGTTTGCATAGCCTCGCAGGTGTAGAAAACGATATAACGTGTTGGACAGAATTTCCGATTTAGTCTTTAGCCCCACGATCTTCGTAGAAGCTCTTGTTTGAGCCGGAATTCCGTTCATTGCGAGCGAAAGTACAGCAAATGATAAAGAAACTGGTTCTATCTGGAGTAGGTTTTGCCACGTTTCAAGCTTCTCGTTCCTTACACCCCAAGTATCTGCTTTTCCATTTACTTGCTCTAACATGCCTTTGTGTACTAATGTTTGTCTTAGACTACTGTCAAACCAAAATCGCATAGTTACGGGTTTATTTTGAAAAACCCTGTGAATACGGAATGCCACTAGAGCAGCTGCGGCTTCCCTGAGCGGTATGAGAGATTTTGTGACCAGTTTTTTGTACTCGTCTGACGCTACCCCATCAAGGGTAGGGAATATGATAGATTCTAACGAAATGAAGTAGTTAAGTATCCTAGGGCCAATTAACGCTTTTGAAAGGTAGAAATAAAGCTCTGGTGGCAACTGTAGCCCTAGATAGTCGTTATTATCAGAAGCTAGGTTAGCATAATCACGACTGATGACCTGACCGTCAGGTTGAATAATTATCGCATGTAAAATTCCAATCTTTGCTTTTTGAAATTTATCGAGCCACTTAGGATCGTTCTTTTCAAGAATATCGGAGAATTGTCCGCAAGTTGTGGTTATGGACTTTTCTGATGTTCGAAGTAGGTTAATAGCGTCAACGAGAGTAAATGGTTGTTGTGTAATTATGCCATCTATGCGAAGCGGTGGAAATGTTGGTAAGAAAGATGTTCCAGCCATCAGAAGGGCATCATCAAGCATTTCAGAATTAACACCAAGCTTTTCCATTAACTCATACCGAAAAATACCACGAAAAGATTTAGAATCCCAATCACTGGTGGTTGGTGGACATATTATAACTGCTTCTGGGGATCTATCATAGAGTAAAATCTCCTTGGATCCCATTATGCCATCAATGAAGCCTTTTCCGGAAAACTCAAGATCAAGAAGGTAAACAAGCTTTGATAGTTAGCACCATCGTAATAGTAAAGATATAAAATCACACCTGGGCACAAGCACTGAACGGAGCAATTTGAAATGGGAGGCCACGCTTCATCAAAACCTTCTGTAAGATGTGATATAGATCATGTATTCTAGTTGCATCTACAGGATATTAATTAAATGTTTAAAAGAGACAATATTTCCTACCTGAAGAGCCAAATGTTTTCACTGCGTCGTTTGGCTGATGATCTCCATAAAGTTTCCATGCAAGTTGCGTCTTCGATAGCGCGGCGCGAGAGTTTCTAAGAGTCATCTCGTCTTTACCAATGATTGACTGACCGTCAAAGACGAAAAGTGGTGTGATTTTGTTTTCAGACCATTTATCCAGCTCAAGCTCGATGTAATACTCTAAGCTGATAGGATCACCACCTAATGCCGTGAGTAGTGGCTCATGTGCAGGTCCATTGTTGACCATATGCTGTAGGTATGCCGTTGCTTCGACACCTATTACCGCCTTTTCGAGTTCAGATAAAGGTGTGGGTGAAATACTGGGACTAATTCCGCTGGTTAAAATAGATGATAAATTTTCATATATGCGCTTACAGATTATTTTGTTGTATTCCAAAATTAAAGTCAAGATCATTAACTTAGGCAATGTTAGTTTGTTTTCATGATATAGTTACGTAGGTAAATAATGGCTTGTTTAAACTGATTAGTTTTTAGGCACAGTTCGGGCTTCAGAAAATGTGCAATTATATAATGCAACAATAATTAGAGTCAAGCAAGCTGCCTGATATTCAGATTTATTATTTTGATATTTAAAAGCATATTCATAATTTTTAAGCTAGGCCCTTCGAGTAAAGATTTATGGCGCTTTGTTTTTTGGTGATTTGGTAAGTTTTATATTTTTTTGATAGTTTGTGATTATAGCGCTGGTAGCGGTGTGTTGAATAGCGTTTCAAATGACATAGATTAGCAGCCATTAAGCTCTCCATTGGATGATATGGAAAGCTAAAATTGAGGGTATTTTTGAGAAGATGATGAGTATTTAACCTCAGTTTTATTTCGGCCTCCGGCAGTCCCTTTACTTATGTAGTTGCTCCGTAGGTTAAGGCTTCATGAGACGAGTCAATGAAACTATTTACTTACGAGGCATTTTTGGAAAGAGTATCTGAGTTCTCTAGTGATAAAACAGTCTTCTCCCAAAAATAGGGACTCAATTAGTCTAATCAAATGAACTTTTGTTTGGGTCGAAGTTCTGACGAAGTTCCTAGTTGGTGTTGGATTGGGTCCACAATTGCTGTCCCGTATACGACGATCGATTGTTGAGTTTATCAAGGTGATTATCGCGTCACGAGTGGGAAAGTTGAGGATAGCGAAATTCTAAGTGTTGATTAATGAAGATCTTGTCGTCTATCATCCAAGCTTTCTGAAGCTGCGCCAAATGGGAACCTCTATTGCCGGATCCAGCATAGGACTAAGCACGGCATTCAAGTACCGTTAACCCCCGACGTTCCAGTAAATGCGTCTAGACAAACATATCTATACTTTGCATTTAATTAAGAAATATCCGATTGTGAAATAATGGCCCTTGACGATGAGGCAATTCAACTTTCCGTTATCGACATCACAAGCGACATCCCCAGGACTACTATTGCGAAACAATTAGTAGAAGCAGCTACGAATAATGGATTTTTCTATATCAGGAATACTGGGCAGGACATTCCGACCAGTGCCATAGAAAACATGTTTTGTCTAGTAATACCAAACTCAGATCATACTAGTGTGCTCCAATTACTAAAATCTTAATCGATTCACAGTCAAAAAAGTTTTTTGCCTCCCCTGTTGAAGAGAAAATGGCATGCAAGATTCAGGAAAATGTGATCGAATTGTATACGCAAAATGAACTTTGCTAATCAGATCTAGAACAGAGGCTGGGTTGGGATGCACACTGAAACTCTAGATGCAAAAAACCAAAGAGTATGAGTCTATAGGTCTATGAGTCTATTTCTAACACGTTTAGGTTGGCGACTTTAAAGAGTAGTTCTTATTACAGATCACCCTTCTGCTTAGCTAATCAAATTAGAGCATTAAACTTTGGTCATTTTCTTGAAGGAAAAGCTCAGCAGGCGCTTCCTCTAGCCTTCTTAGGGCACGAGCACGAAATCGAACAGTTTCAACAGTATTGCTACAATCTAGTTCTAAAGATTCTCAGTCTTCTCGCGACCGGCTTAGAAGTTAGTCATCTGCATCTGCTTTATTTCAAAAGAGTATCTCATACCTTTACAGATACAGGCTGAAAATGGAGGCTCTGACTGGCTAGTTTCCCGTCATCGAATCGTTGGGACAGGTAGTTCTATTCTTCGCCTCTTACATTACCCTCCTATCACTCCCGGCAGTGATTATCGAGATGGTATAGATATTCGTGCAGGAGCACATACTGATTACGGATCTATCACTCTCCTCTTTCAAAGACCCGGTCAAGCTGGACTTGAAATTCTATGGACTCAAACAAAACTTGACGAAGAAGGAAATGAAGAAACTCGCTCCACATGGGAACCTGTATCGATCTTTCCGCGAGGGACTGAATCCGATCCTAGTTCACCAATTTTAATCAATATTGGGGACCTACTCTCTTATTGGACTAATAATTTATTTAAAAGCACAATTCATCGTGTTGTAATTCCTCAAAATGGTGTGAGAGACGGCGAAGACCGATACAGTATAGCATATTTTGGACACCCTATTGACTCTACTGTCCTCGAACCCATTCCGAGTCATAAGATTCCAACATCAAGAGGAGCTTTAATCGACGATCAAATTGGAGTAAGAGCCATGACGGCTGGAGAACATCTAATTAAGCGACTGAGAGCTTCATACCTGGGCATATGTAGAAAGGGAGATGAGAAATAAAACTAAAGCACAGATTTCGTCTTGAGATAAAACTTATCGTGGTATGAGACAAGATAGAATCTTCAAGACAAATCTGTTTTAATCATTTAATGCCTATTCAGCTATCTAGCTGTAATAAATTACCACAGCTTTATATATATATATGTTGAGTGACTCCTTTACCTTTAGAGACACATGAACTGTTCCTTTCATTCGTAAATTCAACAATGGGGTATGTCTGCTTACATAAACAGTCGTCCCTCCTCCGTGAACACCCATTGAGGGGAAATTCAAATCCTTTAATTATCCATAAATGCCTTCATCATCCATTTACAATAGCACTCAAGACGCTTGAGTGTGTTTTGTCAGATTCGAGTCGGCAAACTCATGTCCCGAATGGGATGTGTGGTCTACCTATACAGATGTTACTTGAAAGACCCGCAAAGATAATTTACCACTGCACCGGCCAACCATTACGATATATGGTGCAGCCTGCTCCACAACAAGAATTAAGTGGTGTTTTAAATGGTAAGGTGTAGAGACGAACTGGGTTGGATGGTGCAGTGGCAAACCATTCAGGCCACCTCCCAAGCAGATACTGGGTAGTTTGATACCTCCCCCATTTGACATAGGAGAAAGTTAGTTCGAACCCATAGGGACTCACACACCACCCTCTCTCGCGGTGATGTTGTACTTGTGGGATGATGAAAGCACACCCGGATGGTCACATGTTTTCCACGCTTTTCCCTGTGGTGGGTATGCACGGAAGATGTTATACGCCGTAAGGGTTAACCTCGAGTGGTATCTGCAAATTAAATCTGAGTGTTAGTGTTCTAAACATCAAATTGAGTCATACTACTTAAAATACATATCTTCCGATAAACCTGCATGGGCCTCAAGGCGTCAAATCCGGATAATGAATAATTATTATTTGATTTGATTTCATTTAGCCCGTTCAGGTACCCTATGGTCCCATGCAGGTATATCTAGCTATAGCATTTACACAGGAGGAAATCAAATTCGGTAAAAACCCCCTAAAACTGTCTGTCTTGTGTCTATTGTTTTTCTGAGGTTTCCTACAGGAAGTGCGTTTACACTGTTTACACAGTAAGAATTCCATCTTATCCTTGTCCACATCGTCTCATCTTTTGGTCTAATGCTATATCTACTTCTTCTGCAAGCCGGCATTGTTCAAACCAGTCTTTTGCCAGGATCAATCTTATGATTCTCTCTATATCATCTGGGCTGTTCATCATTGCCGCAAATGACCTGTCTTTTGCCTTTCGAAGCACCTCTCCTCTTCCCATTGCCCACTGAGGATACGCCAAGACCATATGTTTGAAATTTTGAGACGGATATCCACACTGGTATTTTGGATTAATCACTCCGGGGACTTTCCTTCGATACAGATAAGAATTGAGACCAATATGCTCACTTCTTATCTGAACTGTAATACTGCTTTGGGACCTACTAAGGTTCCGGTGGATATTTGAGGGTGTGTTTCTATATGTAATCCCTTTTCTACATGTTGTCTTATCTGTGACAACATTTGCGGCCCTCCAATGGAATAATTATTATTATTATTATTATTATTATTATTATTATTATTATTATTATTATTATTATTATTATTATTATTATTATTATTATTATTATTATTATTATTATTATTATTATTATTATTATTATTATTATTATTATTATTATTATTATTATTATTATTATTATTATTATTATTATTATTATTATTATTATTATTATTATTATTATTATTATTATTATTATTATTATTATTATTATTATTATTATTATTATTATTATTATTATTATTATTATTATTATTATTATTATTATTATTATTATTATTATTATTATTATTATTATTTTGAATTTGATTTCATTGTCCTGATTTGGCGCCTTAAGGCCCATGCAGGTGACTATAAACCTAAACTATATATTTACATGAGGGGGAAACCATTACGATAAAAACCCCCTCCCCCTTTAAATTTTTATACCTGTAGTTCTTCGTTACCTACAGTAAGTGCAAATGGCCGTTAGTCCGAAATAGAACTAGCTAAAGTATACCTCGCCATCCTTTCCCTGCCCTCGCGTGCCGAAAAGTGATGGCTGTGGTCTTGATTTCGACCCCGATGGCGCAAATAGATGTTGTGTTGGGGCTGGGACCTGAACTTGTTTGCGCGGGCGTCCCGGCCCTCTCTTGAAGCCTTCTGGCTTTTGGTTGGTCACTAGCGTGAACCCATGGTCGTCTGGTATGTTAGCAGTATTTAATTGAGGTAACTCCGTTAGTGTTTCGCTCTCCCTTCTTAGTTCGGCCGTTCTCTCCATGAGTCCATACCGTGCCCGCTGAACATTGGCCTTGTATGCCGCGAAGCTTGGACACGCCCCCTTCTGCCACGATAAGTGGGCCTTGCCGCAGTTGCAGCAAAGTACCGACTTCTTCGGACAGTCCCTGGTCTGATGGGTGCCCGCGCACCCTCCACATTTCCTTGCCTTGTTGCAGGATGCTTGGGTGTGCCCCCATTGGCTGCAGTTGAAGCACTGCTTGACTTGTGCCCGGGGTGACCAGAGCTGGGCCGTGTAGAGCATTGAGTCCATTACAATGCCATTTCGGATCACTTCGCGTTGTAGAGCCTCGGTCGGTAAGCTCGCAATGACTGACCCTCGAGTATGGCCATTTTCCTTCGCCCAGGTGTGTTCCTTCCCGTCATAGAGCCATCTCACCCTATTGATTTGTATCCCTGGAATCCGTGCTTTTGTCTCCGTCGTCATTTTAAATATGGCCACGCTGTTGTTGGCATTCTTTCCTCCGTGAATTATTGTCCCCAGTGGGACTCCCAAGATTTCAACAGGGTAATCCTGCTTTAGGACGCAGAACTCCTTGGGCTGCGCCATCCTCAAGGCAGCGTCTCTCTGCGAGACCGACTGCACGAACACCTCAGTATCATTGCTCCTTAATTGCCTTACGGCGTATGCCCCATTTATATGTAGTTTTGCCTTGTTAAGCAGCTCTGCCGGCTGCATCTTGTTCGCTCCTTCTACTCGAATCCGTACTGCCGCTTTGGTGGCTGGCGGCGCGACGATCGAGGCGTACGTGGGTCGTCCTCCCATTAATTGCGCTGGTTGTGGTGCAGTCTTGCAGACCGGCTTTTCGAGACTCTCCTTTACGACCTTCTCTAAGGCCAACATTCGATCTTCCATTGGGTTAGCCGTCAGCTTTGATCGGAACATCTTGGCGTGGGCTAC